TTGCTTTAACGGGACGCTGGCTGCCGCGCGCGCGCCATCACCGCCACCGCCGCCGCCGCAGCCCCAAGGCCGCGCGGGACGCACCTCTGCCGCGCACCATTGCAGTCGGGGCCCGCCCCCTCCGCGCCTTCGGTTTCGACGTTTCTCCCTTTCGCCTCTTTCGTTCCGGTTGCCACTAGCACACGTTCTAGCCCGCCGCGCGAATTTTCGATCGGACAGAAAGAGACCAGGATATCGACAAGTGAATAACACGGCGAATGACAACTCTGTCCCCCCTCAGTTTCGATGCTGCTCTCTTACGCCTCTTTCGCTCCGTTCTAAAACGCCGGAAGCGGATCCAGGAAGAAGGATGAGGTCCCAACCCCCCCCCAAGCCAACCTTTTGTCTTGTAATTTGACTAACTTTATTAAAGCTATTACCACAACGATCGCATCGCATCTATAATAGTATTCTAATTTTGAATATACATTTATTAGATTTCAAGCAAACGAAAAAATAAAGAAAATTATTACTTCACAAAATATTTATGAGCTGGGCAGGGCGAACTGGAATACTGTCTGGATCCGTTTCTTTAACACGCTGGACGAATTTTTGCCAGGCACGATCTGTTCATTAGTGACGTGGCTATTATGCTACATAACAATTCGGCGATTACCTCAGACTCCCATGCCCGCTCGTCATCGGTTTCGGCGTTTCATTCTTACGTCTCTTTCGCTTAGGATTACATTGTATTAAGAGAGGATTCAAAAACGCCACATAGATAGTACGTCGGGTAGATACGAACGTAACAGAGTCAATGAATGAAACAATTCAGCGGTGGAGTATTGTGGCCCACATAAGAAACAGTAAATTCCCTTAGTTTAAAATTTTCTCTAAAGTTGTTTCAAAGGTTCCAAGTACACTACAATCGCCTGTATCATCTCTGATCACTTGTAAAGTCCCTCTTACTCATGGATCACACGCGTCATGTGTCAATGAGTGATTGTTGTCTGCATTACTGGGAGGTTAGCAATGTAGTCCCTTGCACAAATTCGTTCGTGATTATGCGTTTCTTTTCTTAATATAATAACTTGTTTCAATACGACCATTAATATAAATAAGGTGCCCTTGTGAAGGATAAGTCCTTGCCAAGCCCTTCACAAGCTTGTCTCAAGATACACTGTGAAGCAATGTTCCATGCAAATGGGGTACATGCTGCATATCGGTTACTATGAATACATACGTATGTAGTATATTGCTCATGTTGTATATTACAAGAAGGAATTATATATTTCGAAATGTAGAAAAACTTGATAATGTTTTTTAAGTACTTGTTCAATTTATCAATGCCTATGAACCTGCCATGTAATATCAGTGTATGACGCGATATGGAACTGGCCATCCATTATAATATAGAAGTGGATGTAGGTTTTTTGTAAATGCGCTATATATGGCTCATAGCACCCCCTCCGTTTCGGAAAGGGTTGAAAGTTCTGAGGAAGGAACTTGATATCGAGTCCTTCACTCAATGCTTAAGACGGCTTTGGTTTAAGGAAGCCTATCAAGCCTTTCAAACCAAGGAAGCTCCGGCAACGCTAAAACAATTAGTTCGATAGGTCCTCAGTATAGGACAAAGAAGACAAGCACTCCCCTCGGATATTCTGAGGGCGTAGTGCAATACAAAAGCCGATTTAGTTATTGACTAAGTTCCGAAGCGAAACCACACCAGCCACTTACACATAGCAGTAAACCGCAAAATGCGTGCGAACTGCAACACAACTACTATCACAAAAACCTTCGGCTAAGCCGAAGAAAAAACATTTCATGGCAGGGAGAATGACATTCAAGTGCTGTAAGTGTATCCATGAAATTGGTCGGTAACTATGCGACATAGTATAGTGTTATATTTTAAAGCAGTTCACTGAGATTGCAATTCCTCCCACAAACGTAAATAATATAAGGAAAGAGTCAAAATGACTTTCTTAGTGAATGACGTCAGTGACAAAATATAATGTTGATGCTTCTAAGTAAAATCGGAGAGAGACACGTAAAAAGATACGCCAGAAAGCGAAATATAAGGCTAAATAATATATATTGAATTACGATTTAAGTTACGAAAATAATGTAATAAATATTATTAGACTTAATCAAATACATTTCTTTTCAAAAGCCGATTGAAATAAAGCTGTTCAATTCAAACACAACATGCTAATGAGGGCGATTTCTATATTCTACAATGCCAGCTTCACAGCAAACATACAGGCAGTGACTATCTTCCCAACTGCATCTACCTGGGGCGTGAATATCCACGTTGTTTCCTGGAGAAAAGCAGAGGAGGATTTTGCGCAAAGCGCACTGTGCTTGGAGGCGCGTCCGTGCAGCCGCGGTGAGCTTCGGAGGCGGCGTGGGGCGAGCAGACGAGGCCGAGAGACCAGCCAGCAGGAAGCTGCTGCGGGCCGCACCGTGCCGTTGCTTCCGTGACGCACTCGTCGCACCGTTGCCTCGTCTTCTGCCGTTGTCTTGCCGCTCTTGCGTTGCCGTTGCGTTTGGGAATCGGTAGCTGAGGTGGAAGATGCTTACGAAGATATTCACGCGTATTACATGTGCACATAACGTTGGCCAGCGGCAGAACAAGGAACTACTATTGTTTACATCATGTCGTTGCTTTCTAGATGCTCGCTTCCTTTGCACACCTGTGTGTAGAGTACGAATCATCTTCGAAAGGAACAAATAGCGTTGTTTTAGTACTGTTATTGTGAAAGCACACCTCCGAACATGTGGTCCCGGTGGAAGTTGAAATACAGTTGCCATCTATCGATACTGTTTGTGAACTGTATTGTTACGAATATTGCATCACATGCCGGAATTCGCTGCGCGAGGATTGCGTCATCTGCGGGGCGCCCCCTCCCCCCCCGAACTAGACGGGTTCCGACTATCCGCGAGCCCGCGGGGAAACGCCGAAACATGCGGGTGCCTGGGAGAACAAGCGCCGGGGCAGTATAAATGCGGCCGCTTTGGCCGGCGACCGAGAGTCAGTTAGTAGAAGACGTGAGTAGAAGTCAGTGGGTAGTAATGACGTCAGTGAGTAGCAGAGAAGCATCAGTCGTCAGTGTGACGAAGTGGAAGCTGTGTGTGAAATGTGCATTGCGGTGAAGAGTGGTGCAGCGGTTGAACAGCAGTCAGCAAGTCTGAAGTCTGCAGTGGAAGCTGAGCTGTGAAGGTGCATCGCGCGTAAGCAGTGGTGCAGTGGGGAAACATGCAGTCAGCATTGGTTGAAAGTCTGCAGTGGAAACTGAGCTGTGACGTGGGCATCGCGGTAAACAGCAAGTTGCAGTGGACGCCTGGTGTGCGCAGTGAGGTGTGGTCTGCGCAGAAATTGTGGTCTGCGCAGGGGGGAATTGTGGTCTGTGCAGGGAATTTGGGTCAAGTGCAGTGGACTTGTGGACAGTGCATTGGACGGGTTGATACTGTAGAAGAAGAGAACTGTGTAAATAAAATAGTGTGTAAGGAGTGAACTGTGTAAATAAAATCATCAAGGAAACGGAATGTGTGTAAAAGAAAAATAATTAATTGTAATATTATCTGTAAATAGACCAAGTATATTTAGTGTATGATTGTTCCCGAATAAACGTTTTTGTTTAAATATTCTGTTGGTATCAATTCACCACGGAGAAACGTTACAGTATATAAGAAGTCATCCGTAAATAGCACAATACAATTTGAGTCCCGACGGTGGCAGGGTTTTTGATACTACTACATAGCCATTAGGAGGCGAATTCTAGCGCCTGGCTGCTCTGATCGGGAGTTTTGGGTCTTTTCCTCTTTTTTCGATCAACCCCGGGCGAAAGCCGCAGCAGTACACTAACAACCGCGCCACGGACCGTGCACGATCTTTCCTCCTACCTCGTTGTTCTGTCGTTACCCCTTGCTTACACAAATTTACACTTTCAAGCACTATACAACCACATATGTCAGGAGACCAGTCAGGAACTTAGAGATTGTACCGGCTGGGGCGGTGCCCCGCTGGTGGGATATTCCTGGTTGGGGAAATTGGCTCTGGAACTCGCTATACAGCGGGGAAATATCACAGCCACTTCACCCGCGATAAAACATGCACTGCACTTACGGGGCTATGCTTTTGAAAATACCTACGACATACGTGGTACTTACATTAATTAGTTCTGATTATCAGATTAGAATCATAAACCCTTATCTGTGGTTTTGTTGGATACCCAGGAACTCGGTAGAAAAATCCTAAAGCATTGCAACAGTTTGGATTTTGACTGACAAATGGGCCAACTGAGCGCCAACTGTACGTCACTTCTATAATTATACAGTCTCGAATATACTCGTGCGATAATGAAGCTCAGAAAACATTGTTTCACTAATTTATCATTAGCACACCGTCGAAGATAAAACGTTTAATATTCTTTGTATATTACAAACATTAGCGTAGGTCAGTGGCAAAACCAGAATTTTTAACGGGGGAGGGGGAGAGGCTCTGGGTATAGTGTTCAGCCGATGTAATTTTTCGTATATAGATTTTTCATTCATGTTAAACTTTATATTTATTTTTATTGGTCGATTTGTTGGTAAAGCCCTAGATGTTTAGATCATTGGTCAGCGTGTTCGCTTTCCATGACGCGACCTCGGGTTTGACTCCCGGTCGGGCAAGATTATAGTGTGCGTTTTCCTTGAAATGCCCTTCTTATGTTGTTGCGTGGCGATAAGAAAACTTACGAGAATAGAATACGGCTTAGAAATGTCTTCGTGCTAACCACACATACCCCTTAAATCCATGGCCATAAGACCGGGACGCTGCTTATAAGCCCTGGCCCGTACGCGGGCTGACGCGCCAAGTACAAGTCGGTATTTATAACGTATTCAATTGAGATAATAAATGACTTGCGTTTTAATAGAAAATTAATAAAAAACTTTATTTGTGAATATGTATCATCAGCTTCAGGTGCGTGGCTGAAACCCCGTGAGTGCGCAACTGGTACAGTAACGTACCAAAACATGGCTCGCTAATAAGAAAATAATGCAGCGCAATTTGCCTTAGTTAATATCATTTTTTTAAAAGAAGCACTCTCTTGAAAATACGCCAAGCAACAAAAGCTTTCTTTTATATCTAGAAAGTACTTCACATTAAAACGGTATCGAAGACTAACTACAAGTGTGAAACTACGACTTTCAGTACATCCAGCTGGTGGCACTTGTGATGCTGTCCACACCAAAAGCTCCTTCCAGCTGGACTGCCAGATTCGGCCATCTACATTCCGATTCATACATTCTTTCTGGAATGAGCACAGACTTTCTTTTAGAATTTCTTCGCATAAAGTGGCTAAAAGGATATGTAATTACTATTAATAATATAAATAGTACTTACTAGTATAACATGAATACATTCTGCCAATCATCATCTCCAGTAGCCGTTTCATAGAAATGAACGCCAAAGAAAATGTGTAATAAATTGATACCCCTTGAAGGCACTTGAAATGCATGCACAAGTATGGAATCCTCAACACTTATTGCATTGTACGAAACTTTCTCTAAACATAGCCAGTGTCAATAACATTCGTGGATAAAAATTCTTTGTTACAACAAACCTTCTTTAACCGTATTTTATTTGTTATATAAACCTTATTTAACTTTGAAACACTTAAATTATTAGACCATTATTCTCGCATTGTTAGTTACAAATGTTGCTCTGTTATTGATCCCCTTCATGTAGAAAGATTAAGTAACGCAATCGTAGATTTCTAAACCTCTTTCGTCCTTGTTCCGAACTGTCAGTTAATAGTGAAACTCGGTAGTGGGATTTTACAGTTATTGTGTCAAAGTTGTATTTCTGATGGGTCAATAGAGCCTAGTTAAGTTTCAATACATACTTCCTCGCATTATTTCTAACTTTCACAGTTTCCCAAAATTCAGAGACCAGCAAAAATCTGACCTGTGTAGTTTTTGACGTTATTTACTCTATTCGAGGATTTAAGTAAAAATGACGCCTTTTTGAGAAAATAATTGTTTAAAAAGTGTCTATATTTTATGCAAATTGCACGAAAAGAACTAATTTTCTCCAAAAAGCGTGTATGGCATTATTTTACGACTTTTGGAGAACCTTTGACTCACTTTCGAAGAACAGATTTCATTAATAAAAAAATACGGAAAAATTTGAACTTATAACTTTTGAAAATTCAAAGAGTTCAACGAAAATGAGACTGGTGCCATTTTCTAACGAATAAATTGGATATGCGTAAGGCTTCATTTTGTGACCGTGGTGATAGAAGACTAAAATGCATGTAATTTTTGAGTGACCTCTTCAAGCTTCAAGGAATAGACGCAATGACATAAGCAGTGAAGAGGCTTGCAAATTCGAACATAATTTTGTGACTCTATACAAAAATGTGTTTTTTATGTTTTTTATTATTCTAGGTTTTATTTTTACCCCCATATTACATGCTCTTGATTATTCTTTCATTTTCTCATTGTATTTCTGGTTCATTGTCTGGTAAAATATACTCATGCTGCCTTCCTTTAAATAAATTAAATAAAAAGTAAATAATTTATATGAGTATATATATATA